ACCCAAACCTAATTTTAATGATATTAGCCCTCCCTATTGTTAACTAATATATATCCAAACAGTTCTTCTATTATGTTAATGAATAATTGAAATAGTTTGCAAGTATTCAGGTTATGCACCACCACATATCGAACTTTAGGGTGATATAACTGGTACATAGCTTTTTGTATACGCGTCTATTTCAATATCAGGTTGATTATTGCTATCAATACTTTTGTAATTAAGAATAATAAATACCCCAGAAATTGAGCATCCACTATAATATGAGAATGAGATTCTATATCAAAAATGATCCTGCTAATACTGTATGATTAACTATTAGAAGACCCAAAATATCGAATCCCTCCACAAGTATTCAATATAGAAATACCATGATAATTTTCCCATCCTAATATAAATATAAATTATAAGAAATTACCATCTATATTGTTAGAACTAGCATTAAACTCATACATCACAATTTGATGAGTTGTCTAAATTATAATGATGAGAATTATCATTATTAATTATTGTAAATATTAACATTTTTATTTAATATATTCATAATAAAGGGATTCACTTTTTCTAACATCTAGATTTAATTAATATAATTCTGTGTTTATGGAAAAAGATCATCAAAATAATATCTTATGAAGCTATGTAAATTTTTTAATAACCTAAAGAAGGAATGTACAATTAAATAAAATATTAATCCTTAAATTGGCATGTAAATTAATGCAAAAAAGCATTTCAAATTTAACGCTTTGAGAACATTTATGTTCTCTATCTTATAGACATTATCGCATAAATAATACTTTATTCAAAAATGAAACTTTGCAAAAATGTTTTTCTTCCAAATATAATTGACAATCATCTAAATATGTACTTTTCTATTTCTAATTAGAAATAAATTATTTCATTATATTTATCATGTAAAATTCATGATGGAAAGCAATCACATCCTTCAATCAGTTATAGCAGTAAATAAAAACATGATTCGTGTTTAACACATTATTTAGCTATCGAGAAATAATCTAATTATTCTAACAACAATTTAACCATAAATTGCAAACAATAAAGATGATCACCTCCAAGAAATTACTTAAGTAATAGAGGCAAGATATTGATGGTTAATTATAGATTATTTAGCTGAGGTTAAGATTTAAATTAATAATGTTGATTAAATTAATGTAAGTTGGGTAATTTTGAAAAAATATAATTTTGGAATATATTTTATATAAAATAGGAAATATAATTAATGAAAAAAAATATTAGAATGTAATAAAATATTTGTAATTTATTAATTGATGATATATAATAAGAAATAAAGTATGTAAATTATTATATTTATTAAAATGATTATGGAAAAATTAAGATATAAGAATTTAATTAAATTTATGATAAGTAAATTAAAAATAATGTTGTTGGATAAATGTTATTTGAATAAATTAATTATGATGATGAAATATTGTGTAAGATAATTGGTTATTTGTGATTTTAATATTGGGTTGGTATATTAGAATTGATATTGGTTATTGAGTGTTTGGGTGTTATGTTTT